ATATATATATATAATTTATTTATAGTTGGAGTGGTGTAAATAGTTTTTGTGACTTCATGACAAAACTCAGATTTATTGTACCTGTACTAGTTCTTATGTAAGTGTGTTAGGAAAATGTTTTTTCATATTTGTCACATTATTAAATTTGTCATATTTTTCATAAAAGTTCAGGGCTGGACTAGTTATTGTTTAGTGCTCATAAGTACCACAAGGTTTTGGATCTTGAAGATCATTCTGTAGACTCGAAACCAGATGTTTAGTGTCATTATAGTTGTACTGCTTACTTTATTATATATTCTTGGAAAATAATGATATGTTCTCGTTTTATATGTTCTAATTTTCATGAAAGCATACATATTATTCCAAGACCAATTATAGGTATTGTCTGGGTTGTCTTAATAGTTGTAGAAAGTAAAATGCTGATTTCGGAGCTTGAATATGACCTAAACCTAGCAACAGGTGCACTGTAGTTGTTCTGTTAACATTTAAAATGTGAGATAAAGTTAATAATAAATGCATTTTTTTTTTTCATGAAAGCAGATATACGTCAGAACTAGAATGGACTAACTAGATTTCGAATTGAAGATATGTTAAAGTCGGAAGTTGCTTGGATTGCTTCCAGTACATGTGTTTATATGAAATCCATAATACGATCTTATTATTGTGTTTGCCACAGATTTTGACAAGAAGGTGAAGAAAGAGTCATCTTTGGTGTTGGATCAGTTTTTGTGCCATATTGCGAAAACCGGGGAAACCCTGTAAGTACCTCCAGATAGCAGTGAGTGATCTAAGAGGGGCATAGAAACCCCATTTACCTTTGTGTGACCTCTTTTTTTTTTTTTTTTTTTTAAATCGTAACTACTTTTCTGGGTAACTCCACAAGGTGGTTTATTGCACTACCACAGCACTTGGTTTTGTTCCAAAACACGCTGAACCTTGTACTTATCGACTAGATCTGCTTTAGACGACCTGCTCTCATTTCAAGAAATAATTGTGAGAATACATAGTCAGATGCATATCAGAAGATTGAATCTATGTATGTCTCTGCAAAACCTGCTTCTGATTGGCCAGTTGAGTTCTGTGGTCAATTATTTTTGCATAATGACCTGAACTGTGTTGCAGTGTTTATTTGATCCTACATAGTTGTTTGTTCTCTCACATCTCTCTGGTCTCTTCTAACAATATAAAACAATTTCAGCGGAATTTTCAAATATAAACATTTCATGCTCATTTATTTGGTTGGTAGCCGTGTAATAAGAAGGATCGTGACCGGCAGATGTTGTCTCTTACTAATTTTAGCTGTCTGTGTGACTGAGTTACTAATGCTCTGTATTGTCGCATTTCAGGGTGTCCTGGTCTCAGTTTAAAAGCTACTTCATATTCAAACTGGAGAAAGTAATGGAGGATTTCCAAGAATCGGCCCCAGAGCAACGAGAGCCTGCCAACCCCAATGTAGAGTCGGTTCCTTTTGAAGAAATGAAGGAGAGAATTCTTAAAATAGTCAATGGATACAACGGGTGAATAACATGCTAATTAATTGCATAGTGTGGTGCTATCACCAATTTTCCTTTCAGAAAAGCACTGGGTTTTTCCCTGTAAGAAGTGTTCCATAATGATGTTTTGGATAAAAAGAGAGAGCCTGTCTTTTTACCCCAGAGCAAGTGTGCCATCTTCTGGCTGTTGAATATAACCTAGCCTACACTGTTGTGGAGGATGCAGCAGCTAATTATTTTCTCTATCCAGGATCCCATTCACTATCCAGCGCTTGTGCGAGCTGCTCACTGAACCTAGGAGGAACTACTCAGGAACAGAAAAATTTCTCAGAGGAGTAGAGAAGGTCAGTGCATGATGCATTGTACAGTTCAAGAACTAATAGCCAAATGGACGCTGTTTAGTTGTGTGTAATGGTGCACTTCCTATAAAATGCTTTTATCTCCTTCACCCTGTTCTTATATAAATGACAGTTCATTCCCAGTATGTTCAGTTTTTGTTTGCATTTTTATTCTAGTTTTGCTATAGTTTTGTTCCATCCGAAGTCAGATGTGAGATATTATTACTTGCTATCTTTGACTTCCATAAAGGCTCTGTTGATTTATGGTCAAATGTATTTGTTTTGCAGGTGTGATTTATAAATCTAGAGGATCATTTACAGTGTTCTACACACTTGTCTCTTCAAATGTTTGCTAAGTGGATTTTATTATCATGTGCTGGAGGAACTTTGACTCATCGATGCGTTTTATGTGCTTAAGTGATTTGATTACCAATCAAGGCCCACATTTTAGTCCAACTTAAAGTTTCACTCTGCACATTTTCCCATATAGGAGGTTGTAAATGAATTTGCATCGTTTATGTTATTGATATTGATTGTTTTCTCACTTCATCAGAATGTGATGGTGGTCAGTTGCATTTATCCTACATCTGAGTAAGTAATTACTGTTCACTATTAAAATGTAAAGATGCTACATATTAATTGAATGCTTAGACACCTCTAATTACTGTAGATGAATGAAGAGCTATTTCTGGCCTCTTTGTAGGAAGAATGGCTGCAGCGGTGTCAACAGAATGAATGGAGTCATGTTGTC